TCATAAAACCCAGCTTCTCAGATTATTTGCTCAGCACACAGGTTGAATAAGTATGATGAAAGAATACAACCGTGCCGTTGTTGTTGTTAAGTGCCGTCGAGTCGGTTCCGACCCATAGCGACCCTGACCAGGGTTTCCGAGGCTGTAAATCTTTACGGGAGTAGAAAGCCTCCTCTTTCTCCCGCGGAGCAGCTTTCTTAATTTTAAACCATCCAGCGTTCCCATATTCTCTTCAAACAACTGCTTCTTGGAGCAAAATCAGGTGCTGTTTAAAAGTACCTCTGAGGTCAGGAAGCAGCTGAGGGTGCGAAGGTGGTGACTGTGGTATACTTCTGGTCTTAGCCTTACTTTACTTACAATCCTCATTTTAAAAATTACTAGAGATTAAGTCATGCAGACTCCAAAGATGAAGTGTAGGATGCTAAACTGAGCAAAAAAAACCTTTTCTCTCTGCAGCTGTTTATGCTGCCAGTAGCACCCTTCTTGGATCCTATTCCACTTTTTTTTCCCTCCCACCTCATTAGCCAACTAAACTACAAGTTATGTAGTAGTAATGTGACTATCAGCTTAAATTCTGCTTTCTTTCTCCATTTCTTTATTATTAGTTTCCTAAATGTATACATTATGCGTCTCCTCTTGCTCTATCCTTTAAGCCATCTTGCTCATTCCTATGGCTTTTTTGTTGGGCTTGGCGCTGATGCTTCTGTTTGGACTCAGTGACCCCAGGTAAATGAGTAGAACTGCTGGGTGGTTAAGAACCACTTATCTTAGTAAGTCATAACAGCACCAAGGCTCCTTATGGCTTCAACTACCATTTATGAATGACTCCTTAATTTTTAACTTACACATGTGAGAAATAACTTTTGTGGGCATGGTCCATCTTCAGGAATTCATGAGATTGCTAGACCTGGGAGACAAATTGTTGATTTACATCCAAGGATATGTAAACAGGCTGTTCTAGGACAAGGAAATTTAAATAAGAATAGTCTTAAGACCATGAGCAAGACATTTTGGCTTCTCTGGGGGGAGGGAAAATGGGACTTGCCTGTGTCTACTGGGTTGGGTGCTTGAATTTGCAAAATTGAATAAAAGAAAGAAAACCTCTCACTAAAATGAGTACAGATTGGATTACTTCGGCGTTCGTCAGTATGGATGTTGTTACTCACACACAGAAACCTGTCTTCTATTCCTCTCCCGTGCAACAGTGATCGAATACTGTGAATTCAATCTCATCAGTACTTCTCAAATCTGCCTTTACCCCTCTTCATTTCTATTGCCTTGCTCCAGTCCTCCATTTTCTCTTCTTTACCAGTGGACTATCTGGCTACTCATGTCCTCTACCAGACTTTAAGCTCAAGGATGGTGGTGGCTGTGTGCCGTGGAGTCAGTTCCGACTCATAGCGACCCTGTACAGGGTTTCCGAGGCGGTAAATCTTTACGGGAGCACGCTTTATCTTTCTCCCGCAGAACTGCTGACCTTCAGGATAGAGACACTGTTTTCCTAACTTCTGAATTGTGCCTGCCCTCTCCACCACAATGTCACTGGATGTAGTGCTCTGCGTGTTTGTTGAATGAAAAATGGGAGGCCCTGTGAAGTATGATTGCATACAAACCAGCTAGTTTCAATACTCTGAAATCTATTTTATCCACACTTTCCCTTTAAATGTGATGGTTCTGCTCTTATAAGTCCATCACTCTAAGTGAAAACCTATTAGAAATGTGTTGAATCACAACGGTTCCCCTTTGCTGATACAAAAATTAAAAAAAGAGAGAGAGACCGCACTTTAGAAATAGAAGCCACCGTTGTCTTTATAAAACACAGAATTGTGCTGCTGCTGTTGCTTGCTTCAGAAGGAACTGTACATTACAGCTGCTGGGATAGTTTCACAATGGACTGGACAAGGTACAGCTCAAAGCAGGACACAAACACAAGTCTCAAAGGGAAACAATGCAAACAAGTACACAGCTGTGGGGCTCCAGGGACATCTCCCCATCCATGCTGGACTTGAGAGGGATAAAAAGTTTAGAAACTAAAGTGAAACCCAGAGTAGTCACACATGCCCACCAAATGGCTGCTAAGTGCAACATCACACATGCCAATCAGGCTGAACTGTGTGCACAGGAAAGTCAGTTCATTTTTCCTTATTGCTACGACACCAGGGAACTCAGTGCGTTTGACACATTGTCTTTTCTTGCACAATCCTTTGAGGGTTTCCTATTTCCTTTTTAAAAGAAGAAATCATCCTTCCCACCCCCATTCTATGTGTGTGTGTGTTTGTTTTAGCCCATTCTTTCTACTCCCTGTCTTGGGCTCCCAGGCAGCAGCCAGAGGCTCTAAGTCATTAGGAATAGAGTAAGGGGAGAGCACCAAGCCAGCCTTTCTCCCTTCCTAGGGAGAAGGCAAGTCCTAGTAAGTGAAGGGAAGGGGGAAGAAAACCACTGCACTTCTCCCAAATCTGCTTAAAAGGCCAAATAGGAACTAGTGCCCTGCATATCCCTGCCATGATCAGACTTTAAGAAGAAAGGCATCCCATCTACCGTTCTGGATTGGCCTAGGCCCAACAAATAAATAAAAATAACTTCTGACACAGTTCCTAAAACTCCCTTTTGACAAGACTGAAGATGACTTTCCTAACCTGATGGGGAAGAAACTTCCATCTTTCCTTGTTAAACAAAGTATGGTGCCAGTTATAGACCACTGTCCCCACTAGCCTTGCAGATGATATATGGACCAGCTAAAGAGTCAGCATCTCCTTGGCTGCTTCCTTCATTCATAGAAATCCTGGAGAGAAAAAGAAAACTACTCCAGAACACTGCTACTTAGCCAAAGAGGAAGCAAAAGAGAAGCTAGGTGGTAGGTGGGAACCAGGAACTTTTTTCAGGAAGGCTTCATACTTTTAAGTATCTTATTCTTCATTCTAATTCCCAGCAACAACAGCCTGAGGCTTATCCCCAGAGGCCAGCAGTAGCACCTCAATCCCCAATGTGATTCAGTGGCCTGTAAAAAGGATAATAGTAGTGCCTTCCTTCCCCACATTCAATTCATTCAAATTCTCTCCTTTCTCTTCTCTTCCCCCACATTCAACCCCAACCCCTCTGATCCTGGATACTCAAGTAGGTCAACCCTAGAACATCTTTAGAAAAGGGAACTCCAGGTACAGGGGATAATGAGGATAAATGAGCCCCAAGGAATGGATAGGTGTGAACGCTGCCAGAAGTCCTGATTCAATGCCAGTTGTGTGGGCCTGCTGCATATAAGCCTGAGGGCAGCCCAACTCAAGAAGGAGACACCACCGAGATTGGGGAACAAGTTCTTGGTCTTCTGTACCCAAGAAAAAAAGCCTTTCTTGCAAGCTAACAGTGGGATCATTGCAGCCATGCAAAGTTCATCCGTAAACTTTGGCAGGCAGGCAGGCAGGCCAGCAAGCAAACTGAATGAACTGAAAAAAGGAAAAGGAAGCCAAGAGAATAGAGGAGGGGAAGAAAAAGGCAAAACAGTGGAATGATGGAAGCAAAAAAATATCGAAGAGGATGAGGCTGGGGTCCTCACAAGTTTTCTCAGAGCTTGGGGTAAGAAGAATTTCTTGAAGCAACACCATTTTTTAACTTGTATACAGCCCCTTCCAGATCAGAATAATCCTCAAGGTCAAGAGAGTTTTCAAGTCTCAAAGCTTTGGGGGTGGGGGAGAAATCAGAGCAAGTCATTTTTTTGCCACTGCCCAAGCCACTCCTCTTGCTAATATTGTTGAATGGTACGTGCAATGCCAATAGGGCTAAAGAAGCACTTTAAATCCCAGCTCAAAACCTGACTGGAGAGAGCAAGGCAGAGAGAGAAAAGGAGAGAGCACAAACTCATTGCTGGGAATAGGTGGCTGCCACCTGATCCTTATGGACATTTGCGAATGCTGGTGAATGACTGGACCCTCCAGGAATAGTACCCTAAATCCCAGCCCCAAAATGTACCCAAGAAGAGAATGTGCAGAGCCCACTGTCCCAGGAGAGCTCCCCTCCCCTAACAGTTGACTGAACACGAAGTAGACAGGATATGAAGGCAATGGACAGGGTAGATGGAGTGTTGGCATCACTCTCTTTAGGCACTTGTGTAAGGAATGTAGGCTCTCCACTGAGCTGCCTCCTCCCTGAGCTCTCCTTTCTGTTCTTCAAGCTGGGCTTGTACCTAAGGGACAGCCCATACTGTAGCCAGAAGGACAGAAGGAGTTACTCAACAGTCCTGATGCCTTCTCCATAATGAATGTTTGTGCTACGCTTTGTGACGTTGCTGAACAATATAGCCAACCAGAACAGAATCTGGGATAGATTGTTTTGCATAGCAAGTCTGGCTGCTGGGGACAGGAAAGGGTAGCTCTAACAGCACAGACCAGGATTCAGACCAGTCTTCCTCCAAGCCGGCCCCCAGACCTGGGCTAGATCTAAAGTGTCATGGCTTCACCACCTGATTGGGACAAACCGAAGCCCAGGCTCCTCCAAAAGAGAATTTTCCACACTGTAGCTATAACCCCCCATTCCAGGCAATGGGGTGGTAAAAATGAACAGTCAGGAAAGGGGGAGGGGGTTTGCCTTGAAGCCAAGAGGTGCCAAGCTAGAACCCCCTACCTTCCCATTCTTGCAAGACAGCCAAGTCCCTTCTCTGTCCAGGGAGACTATTTTTAAAAATACAATAAACCATGCCACCCACTCACATGCCCTAGTGGGAAACCAGGAAAAATTCATTTGTGTAAACAGAAGCTATAGGAGCAGCAAAATCTCCCAGCGCATCCACAGGACATGCTGGAATCATGGGGAAGAGTCCAAGTGTCAGAGGACAGTCCAAAGGAAGGGATGCAATTGCAGGAAACAGTATAGGACAGTGCTGAGGTGGGAACCTACAGCATGAAAAAGGTATTATCTGCACAGAGGAAGGATGGAGCCTAAACTCCACTTTGGGGAGATAACCACCGCCTACCTAGCCAGGCCAGAGAACAAATCAGGTACACAGTTCCTTCTGATGGCTCAATGTTTCGAGGATGTAAACTCAGTGGGTATGGGAGGGAATTCCAGATTTTGGCAATAGACTCAAGTTATGGTATAAAAATAACATTTAGTTTTCTCTTTTTTTAATCTTAAACCTAAGGATCTTTTGTTATAAGATACCCCAGAGTTAAGAAATTGTGAAACATAAGAGACTTGACCATCAGAGAAAAAAAGAAGCCAAAAGTGAGATATGCTATGACACTAACGGCAGACCCGGCCCAAGTGGGAAGTGGAGGGACAGGGAGAGAAGGAGACATAAATGGAAAGGCCAGGGGCCAGTCATCTCAGCAGCTCTGAAACTTCTTATGTCTGAAAGTGCAAATGTCAATGGATTTTAACCATCTTGAGGTTGTGATCTTTTTAAAAGCTTAATGAATGTGGAAGTCAAGTCCTTCAAATGCAAAATAGCTGGCATTCTGGCAGGAGGTTTGAGTTAGGGTATTTCTTCCCCATATACCTCCTCCTGTCCCACCCTACCCAATCCCCCAAAAGAAAGGTACAAAAGGTTGCAGTTCTGCAGCATTACCGTTACAGGGAAGGCACTGGTTACCCACCAGCAGGCGGAAGGAAGACAGGGTCGTGTCACTTCAGAGCTAAGTGCCATAGTGCCTTAAGTCTTACTAAGGGCTGGATGTCTGTCAGGGAGGAGGTGTAAGGTGGGGTAGAAAGGGCCGAAAGATAAGAATAAAGGCAAAGGGGATGGCAGCTGGGGGAGGAGCAACCAAAACCATTAGCATTAAAAATCTTCCTACAAACTGGTTTCCAAACCCATTAAAACATCTAGTATCCTAAAATATTGATCTGGGTCTGCTTTCATTTTTCTTCTTAAACAAATCTAGACCTTTTCTGATTAAGGCTCCTAAATAATCCTTCCCTCCTCCCACCCACTTTCCCAAGCCCCTCACTTTCCCGTCTAAAGTATCAAACCCAAACCTACCAGCTTTTGACCGCAAGGTGAAGAGCCGACCTTACCAAGCTGTCAGGCATGAGTCTATATATAGCACTGTGAGTCACATGAGACACCTGTGTGTATGGTGGGCACCGGTGCTACCCCTCTTGGTCCAGTGGGGTCAGGGCCAGATGTGACAAGATGGGGTGAAGGGTAGGGGGCATGAGGTGGATCTCAGAGATTTCTGGCTGGTGGTCTGGCTTGCCAACCCGGTTCCCCACCCTTTCACACCCTCTGTAGAAGGAAGCAAAGCCTCTTACGATCCTCCCTACCCCACTTCCCTCCTCCTCCCTGCTTTCTCTGATCGGGTGGCACAGCTCCTAGGGCTTGGAAAGCTTTCTTCTATCCAGTGAGGTAACAGCGTTCTGCCTTCAAGCAAAGTACATGGTGCGCAAAGTATCCTGGTGAACTTGAACGGCTTTGGCCAGGGCCTGGGGGTCCCGTCCATTGCTCTGCCCCGATATGTGGCTCCCCTCTCCACTGAAAAATAAAAATGAAATAAGTACTTCCTGGTCAAATGAGCTGATTGCTACTAAATCCCCTCACCTATCCTAAGGTAACCAATCCCCACATCATTTTTTTTGTGTGTGTGTGTCCATTGAGGCATTTTATTTGTATGCATTACATCCCTATAAAAAGAATCCCAGGAGTTTCCTTTCTGTGTGTTTTTGTCTTGCTGCTTTGTGGTCCATGATGCCAGCTGAGGTTTTCACTACAATGAAATCAAACTGACAGGACAGAAGGAGATTATTCTGCCACGTTTCTGTCTTTCAGCTGCATATCAAACCAAGGGCTGATCACGCCACACTAGTTTAACCTGACTGTGAGGTTCACAACATTTTCCCACTCTATGATCATCAATGATTTCAAATTCGCCAATGTAACCATGCTTCATCAACATGGTCAGGAACCAGATGATGACTTTGGAGCGCGGCCGGATAAGATCCTACATTTGCTTCTCTTCTCGGCATTACTGACACTCTTACGAGCACCAGCACAGAAAAATGGCGGAAAGACCCCCACACCAATTTAAAAGAAAACCCCAAGCCAAGTTCTGGCAGATGAGCCCAAGGGTACCACACTGGACAAATTCCATTTCCTTCTACCCAAGAGAAGTTAAGAGGGTTCTGGTACAAGAGACTAAAGCAAAAAGGAGATCAGCCAGACCCTAGGCCTCACCTGTCATGCTCCTTGTCCACCAGGTGGTATCGTGCCCGGAAAGCCACCAAGCGGGCATAGTAGGCAGGTGCTGGGATAGAAACAGAGCGTGTGCATCGTACATAAGTGTGGCACAGCTGGTATGTCAAGATCTGGAGCTCATCTGCTGTGAAACGGTTGTCATCCCAAAGGACATAATAATGGGATGGTCGGCTGGTACCCTAGAGAGAATAGAAAGGTGAGGGGCCCCAGATTTGGCAGAGGAATGGCTGTTGATAAGAAACAGGATCACTATGAAGAGCACTGCTAGAATGGATGACCCACATATGAACAAGCTGACATAAAGCCCCTATGTAGTAAAGCACCCTTTCTATTGGCAACCTGCCCAAAATGTTCAAAGTACATTTCTGTTCAAGGTGCACTTGCAGTTTAGTAAGAAAGCAATTCTGATTTGAATGCTACTCAGTGGTAACTGATATATCCAGAGTCAGTGGGAATAATTAACTATCTTTGATCCAAGGGAAATTCCAGAACATAGTCCAGCTACCTGGATGCCTGCATGGCTACAAAGGTAGAAGTCAAATTCAAATGGGTGGGTGATGTTGGTGTCCACAGTAGTCCCAGCAGGGATGTTACCACTCTTCCCAATCTGTAGAGAAACAAACACAACAAAGATCTCCAGACCTGCCTCGCCGTAGCTAGGGCTCTGGTTCAGTTCTACTCTGACTCCACCAGAATCCAAAGAATTCAGTAGAAACTGTTGTTCCCAGAGGATACATGGTCTTAAAATAAAGGACTTCTGAATTCAAATAGACCTGCATTCAAATCCTTGGTTTTCATTTATTAGCTGTATTGTTTTTTTTTTGTTTTTTTTTTTATTAGCTGTATAGTCTTATCTAATTATTTAAACTCTCTTGAGCTTAAATAATTATATTAATTATAGCATCTACCTCACAGGGTTGCTGTGAGAAAGATGCCTTGTACAGTATCTGGCACTTCTAGGAGAATTTCAATAAATGGTAGCTCCCTTTCCTTTGCCTGGGAGCTGGTCTATATATGGGGTCTAGGCCAGGGAGCTAGTAGGAGGGAAACGAAGTATAAGGGAAAGGGAGGAGAAGGGGAAAGCTAAGTGAGGGAGGTGCTAGAGAAAAGACCGTAAGAGCCAGGAAGAGAAGGGGTCAGAAAGGATGGACAGATCAAGAACTGAAAACTCAGATTTTATCGGAAGGATTTCTCCCCTACAAGAGAAGGGAGACAGGACGAGGGTTTGGGTGACCTCCACTAACTCACTCGCTCATTCTTGTCAGCACAAAAAAGGCGTGTGTGATGGCGTTTCTGCACCACAATGTAAGTGATCCCAGGCTGGTAGTCCTTTTCCAGTTTGATGCAGGCATCACGGATGGCCAAGAGCTCATAGTGGAGGATCTAAGCACAGGGTGAGAAAGGAGACAAAGAGACACATAGCTCCTCTTGAGTTCATGCACTTTTCTGAACTAAGGGACTGCTCAGCTTTTTGTTTAGCGTCCCTTTATAAGCTGATGCTCAACCATTGGGAATGCCAAACCCTTTCATTCAAAATAGCTTTATACTCAGTTCACCTGGATCTGTTCCTATAAAACCTTGACTGGAAGGCTTGGTATACCATTTGAGCACTTACCTGGTTCCTACTCATAGAAAGACCTAATGTTCACAGAGGAATCACTAAAATCAATGTCCCAAATATGTTAATTCAAAAACTAAGAGGATAATGGGGGTTTTCTTCCTGTGTGTTCCAAGAGCAGACAGGGTTTGGACCACCAGTGAAGAGCAGACTGGTGCAGGAATGGTCAGGAATGGGTGCAGAGGTAGCAGATGAATTCAGTCCTACAAAGAAGCAGGATTACAAGAAAAGGGGCAAGCTAAGGAAGATGTCACAAGTAAACAGCAATAGGTATTAACTGTGATCGCCTTGGACATCAGATATAGGAAGGTAAATATGGTAGAAAAAGATAGGAATTGAAATCAAAGCTAGATTTAAGCCCAAATTTTATCGAGTTGTATTAATCTTCTTCCATGCCTATCAATGTTACTAAGAAAACTAGTCTCACAAAGCTGCCATGAAGACTATGACAAATGATTATATAAAATCATACAAAATCTGGTAGAGGTTTAATAATGCTGACCATTCTGCTGAATAGTCTGAACTTTAGCTCAAGGCTATGTGAAGCCACTACACATATCTGAACAAAGATGTGATCTGATACATTTATCTAATATCTTAGAAAACACTAGATAGATGACTTGGAGAAAAGTGTGTGTAATGGTTAAAAGTATAAGGACTTTGGAATCAGATCAATTTGATTTCAGCTCCACTTTTATTAGCTTAGAAGAAACAGAAAATATCATTTAACATTTCCAAGTTTCAGTGTCTTCCTCTGTTACATGGGAATAACAACTACTTCACAGAGCTATGGAAAGCAGTATATAAGACATCTGAAGTGCTCAGTGGAGTTAATGGCACATAAGAAGTGCTTGATAAATGGTTGTTGGTAAAGTGTTGTTAACTCAGTTCTGACTCAGCAACCTTGTATAGGTTTTCCAAGGAGTGAATGATAGGTTTGAACCACCAACCTTAAGTTTAGCAGTCCAGTGCTTACCCTACAGTGCCATCTCACTTCTTACTCTAAAGCTTGAGCCCTACAAACTTGCTTTTTTTAAATAGAAATTTTATTTCTCAACATAAGTACCACCAAGTTCAAGACACTTGCAAGTGATACCAGTCATTAAGCCCATCCCTAAAGAACTGAGGGTCCTGGGAATTTAACCATGTAAGTGCAGTCTTTTTTACATTATTAACTGAAGAAAAATGGGTATCCTTTAAAGATTTTTTAGGAAACAAAAGAAAGTCAGAAAAAGACAAATCAGGGCTGTAAGGGGAATGTCTAATAATTTCCCATCAAAACTCTTACAAAATTGCTCTGGTTTGATGAGAGGACTGAGCAGGAACACAGTTGTGATGGAGGAGGATGCTCTGGGAAAGCTTTCCCAGGTGTTTTTCTGGTAAAGCTTTGGCTAACTTTCTCAAAACACTCTCATAATAAGCAGCTACTATTCTTCTTTAGCTATCTAGAAAGCAAAATGCCTTGCGCATCCCAAAACTTCTCCTCTTGATCTGTCTGACTGCTTTCACTGGATCACTTCCACCTCTTGGTAGCATTGCTTTGTCTGTGCTTTGCCTTTAAATCATGTTGACAAAGCCATGTTTCATCACCTGTTAAAATTTTTCCAAGAAAAGCTTCAGAATCTTGATCCCACTTGTTTAAAATTTCTATTGAAGGCTCTGCTCTTGTCTGCAGCTGATCTGGGTAGCCCCATTTGGGCAGAAACTTTACTCAACAATACTCAACAGAATTGTGTAAGCTAAACCAATTGAAATGTCTATGGCATTTGGCTTTTTTTATTCCCAATAATTTTTTTTTTTTATTGTGAACTGAGTGATAGTTTACATGGAAAAACATTGGCTTTATATCATTGTTTCATTGCAATCATCATTCAACAGTATTTGCTTTCATTCCCTCTGGTTTGTTTGGGTTTTTTTTTTTTTGGTGGTGGTGGTCGGAGGTAATGTACACAGAAACATTCGGGAATATATAATAATTCAAACAACCGAAGGACACATTCTGCAAGCCTGCCCCCTTGCCACCAGCACTCAGTCCCTCTCTTTCCATGAGTCTAGCCCTACAAACTGTTTTAAGAAGCACTCTCCAAGTGATTTAGGTGTGGAGTCCTGGTGTGGTGCTGTGGTTTAATGCGCTGGACTACAAAGTCACTTTGAACCACAAGTTCAAGTTCCACCATCCGCTTCTCGGAAACAGTATACAGGGTTGCTCAGTCGGATCCGACTTAACATCACTTAATGACAACACCTCCATGTGATTCCAATGTACACTAAAGTTTGAGAACCACTACAGAATTTGTCTTTAACTAACATGACATGAATCAACTACTAAATAGGCACTGAGGATCGTCTGCTACAAGAAGGAAATCTATTAGATGCTTGTACACTCCACCTCCCCTAGTTGTGATCCCTGCCCCCAAAAGTACCCATTTAACTAAGCTCTCTAGAAAGTAGCACCTCCCAGCACCAACAGCTTAGGAAAGGTAGCAGCACCTAGCCCTGGAGAGTCAGTGTGAGGGCTTTCTCCACTTACTGTGATCCCTACCTGGGGAAGCTGGCCTTCAGGGACCCCATCTCTGTAGAAGATGATGCGGGTAGGCTTGAAGCGGGTTGACTTGTAGAACTGGATGAGCAGCTCACGCACCATATAGGACAAGTCTTCAATGATCTCCTGCCGTGGTCTCTGCACCCGCACAGTAGCACAGTAACGGCTGGGGTGCGCATCCATGCTCCCTACCACCTGATAATCCAAAAGCTAGGATCAGCTACCAAAACCTTCATATTGTGGGTTTAGATAAAAGCTTCTTGACAAGAAAACAATTGTGTAATGGAATGAGTAAAGTTTAGGATTCACTGAGTCCTGGGTTACAAACTCTGTTCTATCACTCATGCAGAAGTTACTTAATTCACCTGATCTTCTTTATACTTCCTCTCAAATGTAGCTAAGAATAAGCTGTTTGCAGTGCTGTGGTACATATAAAACACCTTTCACAGGGCCTAGCCCACAGGTAAGTACCAGACAAATTTGATTTCCCTATCACTTGCAGAGGGGTATGTGAGGGTTTGGCAATATGAACTTAAAGAGTAACCTCATCCAGTTATGTTTGTCTTTATTTCCACTCAGGAACCACTGCGCTAAGAGCGCTCTTGGAGGTAGTGTTAACAATGTCATTTTCAAAGGGGTAGTGGGATACTGACTAGAATACAGAATAAACAGTCACAAGTATAAGAGGGATATATATATACACTGTTATGTGCCGTGGAGTCAGTTCCGACTCATACCAACCCTGCACAGGGTTTCCGAGGCTGTAATTATGTGAACAGAAAGTCTCATCTTTCTCCTGCGTAACAGCTGGTAATTTTGAACTGCTGACTGTGAGATTAGCAGCCCGAATCGTAGCCACTACACTACCAGAGCTCCATATATATTAGTGTTGGCTTTCCCTGAACTTACTTTAATAAATCAGTCTACATAGAAAAATGTGAGGGTTGAATAGAAGTAAGTGGGAAGAAGGGCCTGGTCCTTAGCAACTTGGAACACCTTAGGGGAACACAGAAGTAAAGATATTTAATAGAAGGATGGAATGTAGGCAGAAGAGGAAGGACAGTCCCAGCAACTAAGTAATTTTCTTGAACAGAATTTAGTGAAGAGCTATAGTCATCCCACTATATCCCAAAAAGTAGGCACGTAGAGAGACAAGAGATCAAAACACACACACAGAGCAAAAGAGATGGAGACTGGGCCAAGTCTCTGGGCACAGCCAACACTCTCACTGCTATTTCCTTTCCTTCCCCATAAAATACCATAAATTTAGTTTTGCTAAGATACCAAGGGTACAGATAATGCAATGGTCAAATATCTTATGAAGGGTCAAGAGTCAGAGCAGAGGGAAGGAAATCATGTGTGGCCTTGGTGGCTCAGAGCTAAGAGGAGATCATTATGAGATAAGTTGCACAGTATCACTCACTGCTGTGATAGAGGGTTTTTTCCCATCCCCTGCAGGGGGATGTGTAACATCTGCTCCCAGGAATATCACTGGCTGCTGAAAGACGGCAGAGCTGAGCAAAGAAGAGAAACAATGGTGAGGAATTGAGACCTCTCTTCTTGGGACCATCCTAACAACCACTTTAGTTCTTTCCCCCTTATCAGATTCTCTCTGCAGGGCAGGGTTCTATAGCTTCATCAACACCCAGGATGTACCTTGACAAGAACAAGTAGACAAAAACGTTTCATACCGCTGGTGTGGGACTAGGATGTTGTTTATGCCACCAAGTTTGACATTGATCTTGAGGCAGAGGTTGGACAGGGTCTGAGGCGAGGTCTTAACCACATTCTTCACTTGCACACACTGTGTAGCCATTCCCAAGAGTGTATCTCCAACACGCTTCACCTCAGCTATGGGTAGGGAGAGAACTTATTAGTGCAGTCAACAAACATTCACTAGGTGCTTAAATGCCAGGTACCACATAAGGTTCCAGGAACACAATGGGACCAGAAACACAGAGGGTCCCTACTCTTATGGTGTTTATTCTCTATTTTTGAAAAATCATGAAAATCACAAGGATAAATGCTATGAAAAAAAACTTCATGAAACTATGAGAACATATAAGGGGTAATGATCATGTTAAGAAAGGATTCTTAAGTAAAGATTGAACTAAAATCTGATGGAACAAAAGACTTGGAGGATTCCAAGCAGTGGGAACAGCATGCAAAAATGCACTCAGTCAAGATATATTTAAGATAATGAAAGGCCACAGTAGTTAAAAATGAGAATACGTAGACCATAATGTGCAGAAAGAATATGGTCATCAAACTCATCTATCAAGATGAGAATAGTTTAAGAATGTAATCAAAGACATGGAGAGAAACAAATGGACTGAAGGGATATTTAAGGGATTCAGTTATGGATAGGATATACAAACAAGGGAAAAGATGCTTTATGAAGAACTTATTTATGATTAACTTGTGTCATAGGTAGACAAATCATAAATTCTTTTTGAGACATTCTGAATTTGGAGTGCTTCTGGGTCATCCTAGTTAGGATATCAACTAGGCAATTGCGTGTAGCAATCAGAATGTCTAAAAATAGTATGAAATGGAAATGTTAATTCAGGATTGCAAAGGAGTTCTGGTCCTAAATCTGTCTTTAATAAAGTCAAATGTATATGTAAGTTGGAACAGTAAGGTATTTTCACGTCTAACGTAAGTTAGTCTCAGTATACATTATACTTTCTGTGAATAAGAAACATTACAGAAACATCCCAGTTACACTAAAATGTCTTTCAAATAATAATACATTAATAAAATAAGAATGTTTTGATACTGTTATTAAGAACCACTGTATATACCTTGAGTTTTTAATACTGTAGGATTTATGTGCATTGGTTCATAACTAGTTATGAACCTAAGTTGGGTGTTCATAACCCAGGGACTGCCTGTTGAACACAGGTAGTAATTGAAGGCATGGTCTCAGAAGGGATTACCAGGAGAGAAAAGAGTGAAAGGAAAATCTGAATCTTGAGGAACTCCTAATATTTGAAGAGTAGGAAAAAGATGAATTGCAAAAGAGAAACATCTAAAAAGATAGGAGGAAGACCAAGATAATGTTGATCATAAATACCAAAGGAAAAAACATAGTGTTTCAAGAAGGAGCAAGTTGTCAACAAAATTATATCTTGCTAAGAGATGAGGTAGAATGAAGACAGAAATGTCCTGAGGATTTAGTGACATAGAGGCAAAAAGTTTGGATGAAGTCAGGTATCAAGGAAAGGATGAAGGTTTGATATGTTTACAATGCAAGAGACATGAACATGTTTAAAAAACTAAAGTGGCCATTTCCACTTCCAAGAGACATGGAGTTAGTTATTAATGACGAACTAGTGCTCCTGTAAAGCACATTAAAAAAAAAAAAAAAATCAGAAAAAAAAAATCTAAAAATCATCTTTTGACAGTATCACGAAGTTGTTAAGACAACAAGAACTGAAGGAGTTTGCGAAAAGCCCAGAGGGAGGGAATCTCACAAAGGTGAGTTATGTTCTGAAGCTGTTTGTTTGTTTTATACCTTGGGTACCTTTGCTGGCTTTAACTATAGGCACAGACCTGATACTCCCAACTTTGGACCAACAGAGGGCCACTACTAGAGGGTTAAAAAACCCAACAGAATTGTTGACAAAAATAGACTCTAATTCTAAATGTAAAAGAAAAAAAAAAAAGAATAGAAAATTGAACTTTGGACAAGCAAAGATTTCTTAAACAAGATACAGAACGTAGAAAAGGAAAAAAAATTGTAAATTGAGTTATCTTAAATTTTTAAAGTTCTATTCAACAGACAGCAGCATTTTAAAGGTAGGAACACAAGTCACAGAGCAAGGGGGATATGCAATATGCATATACAATAAGTAATTATAAAGAATGCTATAAATTAGTAAGAAAAAGGCAGATTATCACTAAACACACACAAGAATAGCTAAAATAAAGGAGACAATATTAATTTTAGTAATGATGTGAAGAAACTGTAATTCTCATACATTGCTGATGGAAATCGAAATTACTATACTTAAAACTCCCATTCCTATAAGATGTGTTGGTTATTATTCACAATTGGAATGCAAAGATTGGAAACAAACAGGAAGAATCAGTGGTTGGAAAATATGGCCTTGGTGACAGAAATGATACTAGAGATTGCCTGATAGAATTTTGCAAGACCAATGATTTGTTTATTGCAAATACCATTTTTTAGCATAGAAGAAGACTATACACATGGACCTCACCAGATGGAATATACAGAACTCAAATTGACTACATCTGTATAAAGAGATGGTAGAAAAGCTCCATATGATCAGCCAAAACAAAGCCAAGGGCAGACTGTAAAACAGACCATCAACTGCTCATATGCAAATTCAGGCTGAAGCTGAAGAAAATTCTTAAAAGTTCACGAGATCCAAAATATGACCTTTAATATATCCCATCTGAATTCAGAGATTACCTGACAAATAGATATTATGCATTAGACACTAAAGACCAACGACCAGAGTTGTGGGATGATATCAAGAACATCATACAGGAAGAAAGTAAAAGTTCAATAAGAAGACAATAAAGAAGGAAAAGACCAAAATGGATATCAGAAGAGACTCTGAAACTTGCTCTCCAGGGTAGATATACTAAAGCAAATGGAAGAAGTGAGGAGGTACAAGAGTTGGACAGATAGAGAAGACAAAGTCAAATATGATAATGAAATGTACAAAGACTTGGGAGTTAGAAAACCAAAAGGGAAGAACACAATCAGTAGTTCTCAAACTGAGGGAATGGTAAAAAATTCAAACCTCAACTTGCGGTATTGAAAGACTCTATGGGCAAATTATTGAATGATGCAGAAACCATCAAAAGAAGACAGAAGAAAGAGGGGTGGGGTTGATGGCGGATTAAGGGGAAGCTCCGTGCAGACCTCCAACAGCAATAACACAGAATATTGGATGAAGCAGGTTCAGGGGACAGTCCCAGAACTCTGAACTACAGATAGAGGAATATTTAGAAGGATCGAGGGCTTACTGCTAGTGGGATTTGTAGCAGAAGCCAGAAAGGTGGCGTTTTCTGATCTGCATTGCCAGCAGGTGCCGGAGCAGCCATCTTGGGTATAATGGAGCAGGATCAGAGGAGTGCTCCCACTGCAGAGGTCTGATAGATCAAAGGAGATAAAGGTGTGAACATTTTTTCTTGTTCATTGGTCTCTCACTGTCTGTGTACCTCCACTCTGGTGACTAGATGGGGTGCTAAGTGAGTGGACACCACCCCTACCCCCCGCCCTGGAGGGGCAAATGTATGGATCTGCTCAGCTAAGACTACAGCACACAGAATCTAGGGGCAGAAATCAACAGGAACTGTCTTAAAAGTCTCCCAGAACAGCTCCATCTGGCTGAGTGAGGGGTGTTAAAGTCATACTCATATTTTGCTACAGTTGTTTTTCTTTTTGCAATTATTGACTGTAGTATATAATCTGGGTTTTTTTTTTAAATGGCTTTACTTTTTGTTTTTTTTGGTTCCCCTTTTACTTTGGGGGTGGAGGTCTCTTTCTCTCTCTACATTACCCAAGAAAAGACAGCAATTGGGGTCATAAAGACAAGCTACAACAATACCCTATAAAATCTCACCATTCAGGCAAAAGCCAGTACCAGCTGTTATACACCAGATAGACAGCTAACACCTGCTACTCAGTTACTCTGAGTTGAGTAATAAGAAAAGTGAAACAGCACATCTCCTAATCATGTCTATCTAAAGACAATCAGATTCCTGAGGAGACT